ATATCTGTTAGTATGTTTGTTCTTGTCTGTTTGTCTGTATGTACGTATTCCCGATTACGATTATTGTTCCTGAACCCAATCCAGACCAAACTTGGCAGCCAACCATCAGGGCGGGACGGGTGTAGGCTACTTTTCGTCATCGTTCGATATGAGTTTTATCTATTTTTTATTGATTTTTTGCAAAGTTTGGCCTATGGGGCTGGGAGTTGACATGGGGGGGAGGGGGGTAATCGAGCATGCTGACTACGAAAATGAAACGGGGATAGGGGCATGTAGAACTGGATAGGGAATGCTATGCAGGAATGGAGATGATAACCTTTATTACGGTTCTTGACAGGGCCGGGAGAAGCCGGGTATGCCAGCTAGTATTTCATAATTCTGAATCTCAAAAAATATAAGAGGCAAGCTAGCTCCAAAAATCTGCCAAAAGTTCTTGAAGGCTGCGGATCAGCAAAACTTAACAACTCAGGATTTTGACGCGTTAGGTTGCTTATCACCCAAGTATTAAAACAGCGCAATCACCATCACACACCTCCCTATCAAGAAAATTACTTTCAAACTTACGCGCGCAAGCCAATCTTACACGCGCTCGGACTTTGACAATCCCACTCTCACCTTATAGACTGCCCAAGGCAATGCCATAACCATTGGGTCTCGCAACGATTCAGAGTCCTCAGATTTGCTGCACGTCCAATTTTAGAGCGAAGGGCATTGAAAACGCTTGTTTTCGCCATTTTCAAGCTTTCTATAGTGGATTTTCGGGATCAGCGCATCGAATAACCTCATGTAAGCAAGAATTCGATTAGGTTGGGATCTGCCGAGTCACTGCCTTTAAATGGCAGAAATATGTCATTGTGACAGGCTTCAGTCTCGCGTGTTAGACAAACTAGAGAAACTTTATTATTTTTCAAGATCGGATACAAAATTGAGAACTATGAAGTACCCCTTTGAAGGCGTGGTTTTGCTTACACTAGAACGGGAAGTTGTTTCTGGATAGCTATCGTGAAGGGAAATTTTCTTCCGTTTTTAGGAAACCATACACATGGTGTCCCAAGCAAGGCTCGGTACGAGGTGGCTTCTGGAAAATGCAAAAAACGAAATCCCCCTTGAATTTCCCAAAATTTTACGAAGTCCCCTCTGACCTTAAACCATAATCCTAAAAAAAACCCCGAAAAACGAAACTTCGATCAAAAAAACGTTGCTAATTTTGTGTCTTTTCGGCGACAAAAACGAAACCCCCTTTGCTTTTTGTCCCAAAAACGATGTACAGCTTGCTATGCAAGCCACCTGTGCCGAGGCGTGAGCAAAGAAATAATAGTTCTTTGTAATAAGCGCAAAGAGAAGTAGGAATAGTAGTAGGAATCCTACCTTTGAAACAAAGTAATATGTTTGAAAACGACCATCTCACTTAGATGGCCCTGTATTTGAAAACCTCTGAATTCCTTGAAACTTGGAACACAGAGGTTATTTTACTTGCTAGTTACAGAACGATGATCTTATGCTTTATAGATCTTTAATTATGCTTACTGTACTTATGCGATAATGGGTCAAACATTAGTGCTAGTTTTTGTGCTAGTTTTTGCATGACGGGCCTATGACATTGTTAACGAAAATCATGTTATGCAAGCAGCGGATGCCTTGATAACGACCCTCCCCCTTCCCTGATTCCTCAATACGACCCCCAGATGTGGCATGCCACACCCCACGCTTGACTGGTTGGGGGTATGTATGTGTAATACTCATGTGACAGTAGCTATGGCTTAGCTCTTGTTTTAATGTGAAGGGTTGCAGAAATTTGCTGAGTTGATGGAAGTAACATTGGCTAATCGTAAAAGTTTTTTCATTCGTTTAAATATGGGTTTAGTTTGACTTGCTTGATTAGGATGGTTTTTAGAGACTTTTTGCCCCCCCCCCCCGACACTCCAATTTTGCACGAAAATATTGGTATTTCTTATACACCATACTAACAAGGAAACGATACTCGGTGTTCGTGGCTTTTTGAGATGAGTTGTATACCATTACACTCGTCTTGGAACGCTGATTCCGAATCTGACTTCCGTTTCTGCTAATCGTTTCAAAGATGTTGTAAAGGATTGTGCGGGCTTTGGCTGTGCACTGAAATACGTTCGAAGCGGCAACAGTGATGGTGCCTTGTGGTCTAGTGGTTAGCGCGATAGGCTCATGAGTTGGTGCAGGTGTAGGTTCGAGTCCTTTTGTATTTTTCAGCTTTGCAATGCCTCAATAAACCTTCTTTCGCATCTTCGAGCTAACTGAACGCCCTTACTCTTAAAAAATGTGGAAACTTGGAAAAAATTTACTATTTGCGTTAAAATGTATCCAGTGACCATACTTCGAGTGAATCTCGAACAACTTTAATTGAGGTAGTCCGGTAGACCATACCCTTGGGCGAATAAAGTTGGCTTGAAATTCCTCCATAACTTCCTTCAGAAAAAGGATTAGCAGAAACGGAAGTCAGATTCGGAATCAGCGTTCGAAGGCGAATGTAATGGTATACATCTCGTCTCAAAAGGTCACGGACATTGAATATCGTTCCCTTGTAAGCGGATACATGCATTTTTTCGGGCCTCCGCTTCAAAAGGAGCAAGAACGATATGCAAAGCCGATATTGTTTCTACTTTGTCCAAAGCGATTTTAGAGCCATAAAAACGATATCCAACCTGTCCCTGAGCCACGTCGAAACTTGGCATGTATAAAGTTCTAGACGACGCTCGCTCAAAATTTAAAAAAAACGAATGTCGTTCAGAATTTTTTTACAGGTCCGTAAAGCAGTCTTGCTCCAAAAGCGCATTAGTGCGCTTAGGGCTCACTGAGTCAACGATGCGAACATCATTGATTCTGTTCATCAAATGATAGTGTTTTTTGCTTTGTTTCTTTCTCCTTATGTTTGTTTTTGCTCTAGTGCCCTATTGGAGTGTCGTAGATATTTCGCGAAGTAGTAAAAACTTTGTTTCCAAAAGTTCTTGGTGTCACCTCGTGCTGAGCCCTGCCTAATGATTTACCCGATCATTTTGCGGTCAGAGACTTAGGCTGGTTCATACTGAATTCCCATGTTCCGGAACTGTTCCCGCACAGTTTTCGCACTATGCTGGAACTGTTCCGGAACTGTGCTGCATGCGCTGTAACCGCCCCGCACGCGTCTTGAACGGCGGGAGTTGGAGAATTTTGACCGTTCTCAACGGTTTTCCTTCTGGATTTCTCTCATTTTGGCCTTTTCCTCCACCCCGCTTCCCTTTTTGATCAGCAGAACTTCAAACTCGAAGCGGCGTTGAAGAATGAGCGCTTTTCTGCTCTGCGTATCGACGAAATGTCTGTTTTTGCTCTTATCCATTCTTGCCTCGTTTCCTTTTCGCTTAAACCTTCATTTGTTTCGCCGCTGCTTAGTTTCCGCAGCCATCTGTCTCGAATTAGGACATGCGAACATTCTCAAAATGCGGAAATGGGAACTTTGCTCTTGTTTTCTGATGAATTTCGTTTCTGGGCATTTGCCGCCCCTTCCCCTTTACCATATCGTTGCTTCTCCGTTCTCTCTTCTAACCCGCTTCTTCTAGTGATAAGAAAAGCTGTAAATGTGAAGCGGAGTTGAAGAGAGAACGTTGTTCTTCTCTACTTATCCGGAACATGCACATGAGGGAACAGCGTTCTTTCTTCAACTCCGCTTCAAGTTCGCTGCTTTTCTCGTCGCTAGGAGAAGCGGTTAGAAGAGAGAACGGAGAAGCAACGATATGGAAAAGGGGAAGGGGCGGCGAATGCCCAAAACGAAATTCATCAAAAAGTAAGAGCAAAGTTCCCATTTCCGCATTTTCAGAATGTTCGCATGTCCTAATTCAAGACAGATGGCTGCGGAAACTAAGCAGCGGCGAAACAAATGAAGGTTTGAGCGAAAAGGAAACGAAGCGAGAATGGATAAGAGCAAAAACAGACATTTCGTCGGATGCGCAGAGCAGAAAAGCGCTCATTCTTCAACCCCGCTTCGAGTATGAAGTTCTGCTGATCAAAAGGGGAAGCGGGGGTAGAGGAATAAGGACAAAATAAGAGGTATATTTGGAAGAAAAACCGTAGGAAACAGTCAAAATTTTCCAACTCCCGCCGTTCAAAGCGCGTGCGGGCGGTTGCAGCGCATGCAGCACAGTTCCGGCACAGTGCGGGAACTGTGCGGGAACAGTTCCGGAAACGGCAATCAGTATGAACCCAGCCTTAACCTATCTGAAAAGTGATACTGCTAATAAACTCTAGCACAAGATACTACTAAAAGTTTTTCGTGCACATTCAAATTATTTTGTAAAACTTCGGAACTTAACACGTTGACGACGAGCCGTTTTTTGAAGGTCTGTCCCTGTGGACGAACCGTTTCCGGGCATTTCATGTATGTATGCATCTATGCGTGGGATACAAAAATGCAAGTGGGCGGGGAAGCTCCGCCCACTTTTGGCAAGCTCCGCCCACTTTTTTAAAATGCTGAAAATCGCTTAAAATCAATGAATTCGTGCAAATTCCGGCATTTTTTGGAAACTGGGCGGAGCTTGCCACTGAGGGGGTGGAGCCTGCATTACGGGAGGCGGGGTCAAAACTAAAATTATTTAAGGCTCCCCAGTCATCTGTGAGCTTTTCTAAGCGATTTGAGAATAAAAAAGTTTTTTGTAGAGGCAATGGAATGGGCGGAGTTTGCCAAAAAGGGGGCGGGGCCAACATGAAATACTTCCGATCCTAAATTGATTATGTGAGCACAAATTGGAACCATTGTGCACGTTAAACCTGATATTTATTTATATTTATTTATTTAGGGTGTCGCGCACCATTGCGCGACATCGTCCACAGGGACAGACTACCTGTCGCGCACCATTGCGCGACACCGTCGTCAACCTGTTAAGAACAATTTTGTGTAGCGCAAATTGCAGTGCTGTTCGCTAACTCTTGCAAACATTCCTTCACTTCATAATTTTTTGATATTCAAGCGCATTTTTTATATCGGTTGAACTTACATCGCACAACCCATGTTCGTTTGCCCAGTAATTGATGAGCAGATCAGCTATGTCTGTGCCATTATTGTAGTAGTAATAACTTCGACTGAAAAGGCGTTTGCACTATTGTGAACAAAAAAGGTTTGATAAGAATTACCTGACATAAGCAACAAATATGTTTTGCCCGACCAAGTCGTCCTCAACATAATTCTTCCATGCATATCTATAGGCATCGTTTTCTTGGGCACATACGTATTCCTCAAAAATAACCATAACAGATTGTGTCCTTGTAAGAAAGAAAATTCGATGAAGAGAAGCCGTTTCAGCCAAGGTGGCATTTGTAAATGACTTCTATACTCTTTGAAGGACATTGAATGGTGATTCCAAATTTGCTTTTTAATCTTTCTTGCGAAACAACTTCGACAAAAGTTAAGAGCGTTCGAATGTCCCAATCTGTCAAGCTCTAAACGGCATAAAATTAGCGAAAAGCTCTACAAAAACACCTATGCGAATTTCCACCGGATGTGGTCATTTCTTGCAGGGAATACACTTGGTACAAAGTTATTAGGGTGAACGGTAAAAAATGGGACAGCTTGATTTTTACTGCATTTTGAGATTTTTTTGTTCTCACCAACAACAAGCAGGCTGCAACTCAAACGTCGTTTGCATAACCGACCTTCGCCTATTATTCTGGCAACGCGTTATGGCTCCTCTCTCACAACCGTACGCGTGGCGCCGTGAAGAACTCAGACAAAGTTTTTTGAACATTTCTCAATCTTGTCCTGCTACACCGCAAAGTCGTAAAGTAAATGACACACTATTCGAACGAGCTCTTCATGCTCTTTCAAACGATTTGTTGAATGCATAAAATTTCTTTTCAATTTCAGAAAAAAAGCGAAACAACCTGAAAAATAGCTATTTTCGGCGCAATAGAAAACCAAAAAATCATGTTTTGCCCCATATTTTCCGAAGATAGATAAAATCTGAGGTAAACTGCATATGGATGGATAGAGCGCAAAAAGCTCTACCAGAAAATACCTAGAAAACATGCGTTCACCTAAAAGGAATTGAATAACGCGTATCTTCGTTCTCGAAGCTGCTAATGGCCATATCTCCTGACTTTGGAAGTTGAGGCCACCAAGCCGTCGTGAGTTTGGGGACTGTCCCACCATCCACTCCAGCAGTGGTACTTTGGGTGGTTTCACATGTCTCACTGCGCAGATACTGCTCAAACTTCATCATTTATCGAAGTGGCTAACTTTGCATTTCAGCAAATATAAAAATTATTAATCATGTAAATGACCTTATATAGGTGTTGTCTAAAAGAGAATAACCTATTCTAACATCTTTCGAAATTGGAAAATCTAATCACTTCTCTTTCTTGAGAAACCTTCAGTTATTTCTCAAGTGTCCCATTTTTTACCGTTCACCCTAATATTTACTAACTTTTAGCTGTGTTTGTTTAAAGCTTTTCGAAAATTATATGCCACTTGAAGTTGGACAAATTTGGACGTTTGAACGCTCAGAGATTCCTCAGACAGTGGATCGGATCCTTCCGGCGCAGAAATGGCAGGGCCGCGGAGTTTCCCCAGCGGGGGGTCTACCACTCGTGCTCCGGAGCCCCCCGATTTTGCGCTCCGAAGCCCTCCCATTTGTGCTCCGGAGCCCTCCCATTTGTGCTCCGGAGCCCTCCGATTTTCTGCGCCGGGGCTCGTCCAAATCTGGCGGACTCGCGGCGGGCAAGTCTCTGCGCCGCGACTCCAGCAAATCTGGCGTACTTGCGGCGGAGCGATCTGCAAGCCCGCCGGAGGGGTCCGATCCATAGGTGCGATAGAGGGAGCAGGGTTCTCTCCAGGTGAAGGGGGTTTTGGCTATTTCTAACCTAGAAAAGTGAAGGGGGTAACTGAGTCTTTAGATGAACGCTGACGCAAGCTTGCATGCCTAACGGTAGCGGGAGTGAAAAGAAGGAAAATAAGCGGTATAGAGGTGTAAAGTGAAGATTTTATCAATGCTTAGGCCTTCGAAGGTCATCTGACAGAGACTTTTTTGACTAGGGAAAGCTTTGTGTTTCGTCAGTCGACATACCATTCGAAAGCCTGAGACATATAGAATTAATGTAGACCGTCTCTTTTTTTCAGCTCTCCTGTGAATACACATATAAGAAATCATATCTGGCTTCAGCATCAACTGATTTTATGCAATCACTTTGCGCTCCTTTTCTAAGAGAAAGAGGAAAGCTAGAAAAAAAGAGACGGTCTAGTTTTACTGGCAAGGTCTTGCTCTGCGCTACTGTTAGAAAATCAGGCACCTTCATTCATTCTTCACGCAGGAATTTCTTGACAAAAACACACATGTTTTTAGCTAAAATGCCATGTATCTCTGAGTAGAGGGGAGCTAGAGAAAAAGAGACGGTCTATGTCGAATCCTTGTTTCGTGAGCTTTCTAATGATGTATGGGTTGTTGGGTGCAAAAACTCGTGGCTTTTCAAAATTGAGGTGGAGATATTCAATACTAACTTGCACCACCCTGCTCCGGCTTTCTATGGGTAGCCGGAGCAAGACTTTTTTGGAATGGGAAAGCTTTATGCACCAAAACTTTGTAAACCATTCGATAGCTAAGAAAACGAGGAATCGACGTAGACCGTCTTTTTTTCCTAGCTTCTCTGTGAAGCGAGATACGAGCAATTTTACCTATACAATATCAGCCAATTCTAAGTAATTGTTTTTTCAGACCAAGAAGGTTTTTTTCGAAGTTTATATATGATTCGAAAGCTTGAGAAGCGAGTAATCTGAATGCCCTTTAATTTGTAATTATTCTTTCTAGTGAAAGGAGGTATAGTACGATTCTTGTCAGTAAACATGCATCCATCACTGGCTAGTCCAGATTTTCTACTCTTGCTCAACTCTTTCTGCGACAGTATGTACTCATTGATACAATGTTAGTTATTTAAAAATGAGGCATCCTTTTGATTTTTAATTATGTTTCGTTATCAATGCCACTTTGAGTGCGCTGAAGGTCTCAAGCATGCGTTTTTTCAACAAGAAGTTGTTGTTTCGGTACTCTCTTACAGTCGTGATGTCTGAGGAGAAGAGCAGCTGGCGTTTCCTTTCCGAGCAAAAAGTGCCGTTATAACAGCTGTTTGATTATGCCGTTATGCTTTGATTCTAGTCTCAACCTCAGGTAAAAGGGGTCAACCAGATGCCGGCCCTAAAGTGAAGGGGGTCAGAGGAATTTCTCCACCTATCGCATCTATGGTCCGATCTGCCTTCTTTGTGACGTCACAAGAAGGGACCGCCCCCTCGCCCCGCTCTCATTGGTCAACTGGGTCCGCCGCGGCTCTGGCAGATTTCGACTGTCCGCCGGAGGGGTCCGATCGATTGTCTCAGTCTTTCAAAGAGTTGTTTAGCAAAAAAGAAAACAGATTCGCAAATTCCGTTCACTGCTCTTCAATTTGGTGTAGAAGTATTTTTTTACTAAAAGGATTGCCTTATTAGTCAGAAATTGTTAAACTCTCTACTGTAGCGGATTAGTTTTGATCAAATATTTTGACAGAGGAGATATATCTGGGGTATGAGCAAATTTTGTAGCTTTACAACTGTGGCTAACCGGTTTCTTTTTCAAATTGCACTTATGTTGGATTGCTTCTTCAAATGCTTTTTCCCATTCAAGTCTAAAGTATCCGATGTTGCATTTTGAATTTCGAGCTTGGTCGGCTTCGTTGGAGACAGGCAGAAGCTAAGATATCATAAAATCATGTGTTGCTTCTGTAAGATGTAACTTACAATAATAAAAATGCAGTAAAGGACTCCATGTCTAAGTCTCACACATTCGCCGAATGCTTTCATCCAGAAAAATTCTCGTTGCACTCTGTAAGCAATTATTACCAATGTGTAAATTTACCTTGAAATCGCACGATAGGCAGGTGGGCAGATCTACCGTACATAATATTTTGAAAGCTATCTTTAGACACTGTTTAAATTAAACCAGCTATACCAGGGCATATCCAGTGTTGTTGAAACACTTCACTCGGTAAGGAAATAACTACCAGAATATATTTAAACTGAGTAGTGTACCCATGGGCAGGTGCACATATCTACCGCACACAACTCATATCTTACAAATGCCCTAGTGTTATGAAATTGCCTACTCTATAAATAAACAATTACGAAAATGTATATTTGAAATGGGAGTGCACAATGGACTGCTGAGCAAATCTACTGTACACAGATACGCAATAAATAAAACTTTTAAATTTCCTCTCGAGCCCTTGTACAAGTACACACGATATCAGCACTTACATAGAGCTATTAATTTAGCTCTGTAAACAAATGAAACGAAGCGTTTATGAAAAGAGACTATGAAGAAATAGTCTGCCTTTCTTTAATCTTGCTAACTCGATGCAAACTTATAAGGTGGCTAGAATGGCTGTGTAGATAAAAAAGCGGTAAGAGAATTTCTGCAGTTTTTCGCGAAAAATTCGCGCGAATCCATACTAATGTCTGCAAACTTAACCACTGGTCCTCTCACAATTATACGAGTCTAGAAAATGTTCAATGAAATAGAGTTTAAAAACCTAAGGTTGCTGTTATAGAAAGATGTCATGACAGATTGGTTTACAAAAACTTTTGTACAGACGACCATTTTTGGAGAAGTACGGTAAGTAGTGATTCCGCATATAGCGACGACGATTGATAATATTTACTATGTCGTTGAGCATATACTGTAGCTGAAAAGTATAACGTAAAACGAAACGTTCAAACTCGTTGTATTTGAAAGTTTATCCATTGACAGCAGTTGGCCTACATAAGGTTTCCGTTCGGGAGAGTTTTTTTGATGAAAGTGCGTTGCGTTAGCCACGCACTCGATAAAATTTTTGTATGACTCCTAAGTTTTAACGAGCCCATAACCTCGAAATTTTAGGCAAGGTGCATAACTTAAACCACTAAAAAATTTCTCTATAAGGCTAAATTTGTTTTTTGAAAAAAATTTAGAAAAAAAGACTTTTATACTAGCAAGTCAGAAGTCAAAGCGACCAGTCCCAACAAGACATTACTGGATAGCTTCCGGATTTGCCGAAACACCTTTGGACGAAGTTATAATAGGTTAATTGCAAGATAAGCGTAAACGCGAACTGCAAATCACAATGCTTTCCGGCTCATATTGAAGGACAGCAACTTACTTGTTTGTTTCGGCCCTCACTTAAGCCAGACGGTGATTTGTATGTTTAGATTTAGCACTTTGTATACGCAAACTCTATGCAGTATTATGGCCTGTAACTTCAAACTCAGATAATCGCCGGGGGCAAGTGGCCATGCGATTTATGTGCAGTCGGGCACCGGAAAAATAGTTCGCTGATTTCTTGCCGTCCGCTTGCAGATATTTGAAAGAATTTTGGCGAATTTTAGACGAATGCTCGGAGAACAGTAGCGGCTTTTCTATGCATTAGTTGCGGCGCAGTGGCCGCATTCTCGCGAGAATATGCGAAATTGATGGGGGCCGCGCGGTCCTTTGTGAAGGACCGCACAGCCCTTAGGTACTTTCCGCTGAGAGACGGTACCCCAAACTCCTGTAATGAAACCATCGATGACACCTCTGGCTTATAGAGTGTTACCCTTGCTCGTCGTACGCCCGAAACTGCGTAACAAGAGTCAAAGCGCTCGCTAAAAACTTGGCCAGCGCACCTGAAAGAAATTAGTTGACAAACGCTCAGAAAAATTCTGTATTGCTGCCCGCAAAAGGAAGTACCACTCGCTGAAGGTTTAGTCACACCCCAGAAATCTGTTGACCGCCTGCAAGGAAGCGCAAGTGCGGACCGCCTGCTCCCTGGTCTGAGTTCCTGTTCCGCAAAAATTTCACCTCGTTTTCTTGGCAGCGACTGTATATGAAGCGCAACTCATTCACGCAAGGTCTAGTCAACAGCAGTACTTGTTTGAGAAATCAAAATACAAAGCTTCTAAGAGTCAAGATAGTATTTTGTCTGTAGTGCGCAAAAGTTTTTATAGAAAATCTGAGGAAAAGGACCAACCTGCTGCGATTTCACGCGAGCAGCTCTTAATCAGCGAGACGAAAGCAGCTGTATCGGTTGCTCTTTTATAGTGGGCCCAACCCTCTCCGGCTGATTATGCCAAGCTGAGGACTATATATAGCCGCTCTCAACCGCTATAAGTCCATTCCATTTTGTCTTCTAACATATTCCTTCATTGATTGTATTCGTATTGCGCTTGGCAGTGCCTTGCAAACCCATGAGTAGAATTTACTTTTGAGCACTGAAGAAAGTTGCGCGCTAAGAGCGCTACAGGGTGTCCCAAAAAAATGTGCACGCTGTTTGATCATTAATCACTCGCTTTCGATGTCTCTCGCCGATCTTTAGATACCGTTCTGTGAAGCGATGTTTAGCTTAGATCTGCAGTATGAAACGAAACTCCCATTTCTTTTTGGTACTGTAGAATTACGGTATAAATTGCATACAGTGCCATTGTGAATTGGTCGTTCGACAAAAACTCCCGGAAAACTCTAGAAATATGACAAGGCTCTTAAGCATGTTGATTTCACTATGCAACTTTTTACAAAAATTCTCAGTTTTTTAGAGCTGTAATCAAATTTTTAAAGTGAATTGTTTTTTTCCTTGACGGGGCAAAATGCGACTCTTATGGCTTAAAACCCTCTTCAAAGTTCCTATCGTATTCCTATAGCAACGAATAGAGATGGGAGTTTTGCTTTATACTGTAAATCTAAGCTGAAGCGAGCTCTACAGAATGGTGCCTAAAGATTGGCGAAAGACATCGAAGCAAGCTATAACTCAGACAGTCGAAGGGATACCTCCGGAGGGCAAATGGCGGGATCTGCCACTTCGTGCTCCGGGGCCCTCCCATTTCACCCATTTTGGTGCTCCGGTGCTCCTCCAAATCTGGCGCACCTTCGGAGCAGAGATTTGCGAACACGGGGTTGCGCCAGATTTGGACGAATGGGATCGCTCCTCGGGGCTCGCAAATCTCTACTCCGGGGTGCGCCAGATTTGGAGGAGCTCCAGAGCACCAAAATGGTTGAAATGGGAGGGCCCCGGAGCACGAGTGGCCCCTCGCTGGGCAGTACCCGGGACCCTTCCATTTTCGCTCCGGAGGTATCCCTCCGACTTACTTCCGCAGGATTCTCACGTCAGATTGATCAAAAACCGAAACTTCCGCAAGACATTACGAGAAGCGCGAATAGCCCGAAAAATGCCAGCGGTTTGACTCAACACACTTTGACCCGCCAGCACTTCCACAGGTGATCACGCTGTTTCTCACCATTTTGGCTCGCCAACAATCAAATCCATAGTGAACATATCATCCGTACTGCAGAGCATAGTAAGTGAGTCTCGCAGTCAATAGAGCAAGGTTTGAACCGCTTCGGTGTTTTCCTTTGCTGTTGTGGTTCGCATTTTTCGGAACTTCCGCAACACGTTTGCGGAACTTCGCAGGTGACCCAGCAGAGCTTTTTCAAACGTTCTGCGAAAGCTCGCGTCAATTCAAGTAATAAATGCGCCACATTTAAAAAACAAGGGTCATTTAAATAATTGTGCTACTTTGCTTCAGCTTAATATGTCACTTCTTTATCCGTTTATTTCAAGCTCTCAGTTTTCAAGCCATACATGAAAGGGTAGCAAAAAATTGTGACCAGTGTTTTTTTTTTCAACACTTTTGCTCCACACTTGAGCTGCCTATACCAAATATAACCTAGAATACTAGCACCCGACCTGTTCCGGAAGCGGCCGTGAAAACGTGGTTACTGTTTGGAATCGTTGTGTAACTTTTACGGTAGGACTCGCTCATTGCGACATTGTGTATATGAATTTTATGAATTTCTTTGCAGAGTGCTCTGCATACCTAAATGAAACCGTTTGGCAAATATGCTAGGCTCGGCCACAGATCGCTATTCAGCGTTCTTATCATTGTATGTGGTATTTTTCGTAAACTTACATAATGACTTCCGCATCAGTTTCTGGCTGTTCCCATTATCGTCGAAGCATGCTGGTATGGAAACTTTAGAGACAGTTGGCAGCCCGCATTTGTAAAACAAATTAAAGAAGAGTGCGGAGCAGATGTGGTTAGCTATTCTTACAGTTACAAATTTTCCTGACCCAATCTGTACTTTATTCCCATCTCATGTCGAAACCTTACCTTTGAGACCTAAGACTTCAACCCTTATGCCATATTACATAGTCTCTTTTCTCTTTACTTTGCTCAGAAATACCACTGCGACCAACAATTTGATGCTGATAGATATACACAAATGGAAGACAGGGTCCCTTGGTTAGGACAGAATGTGTTTGCTGCTCTCATCAAGTAAGCCATGTATAGCTCTTTCAAATTTACGATAAGCTAATCAATTCTAGTGGGTTCTATGATGACGACAAAACCATGGCCAAATTGCTTTTTCTGTACTGGAAAGACAGATGGAACCTTTGCCAGGTGAGGTTGGTTTGGTGACAAAAAGCGTTTGATAAATACTGTAATGAGAACAACAATGTAGCTAAAAAAATATTGCAAGCTTATAGCAGTACATACGCTTAGTTCGGAAAAATGCATTTGAAAAGTATGATTGTGTATCTCCAAGACGTGTTTTTTGCACATTGATTGCCATGAGGAGAACAAAATTTTCGAAGTTCAAAAACGATAACATAAGTTCGAAATCCAAATGAAACAAGTGAAATAAATTCTGTAAGTGCAACAGCAATCGCCTTGTACAATATCTCTGTGCATGAATTGCACATTTTTCATCAATGATAATCTACCATCTCTTCTTCAGTCCTTTATTTTCAGAATATAAAGAATATGACACACTTTGGATGCTCGCGCCACATGTTTTACAGACGAGAGCCTGATTTTTTTCCCAGATACTTATGGGCCTGTTCATTCAATCGCAATGAAGGTGTATGGAAATTCACGAAGAAAACTTTAATCTTAAAGTGATGTGAAGGCTTGGAGTCAAATGAAGTGTTACTGATTTACGTACATGACTACGCACCTTTCTACTCAAATAACGTGTCGTATTTTGAAGTTTCCACGAGATAGGGAAGGATTGTCTTTATTGAAAGATTCGCTGAATCATAACTCATGGTTTTTATAAGGTGAGGCTCAAACAAAATCGAAAACTTGTTAATCTTGAGGAAATAGCGATGAAAGTTTATAAGGTTTTGGATGTTATCTGAGATTGATAATAGAGCAATTTGTTTCTGTAGATGCCAGATTTTGCTGAGAACATACCTCGAGGTTAATTCTGCCTTCAGGTAGTTTTATCACTCACCATTAGCAAATATCCGTATTCACAAAAGAGCTTGGGGTAATTCTCAAGGTAACTTTTAAATGATTGATAATAATTTTCCTCAAGTTACTTTGCATTCAAGGCTAAATACCTTGAGGTAAAGATGAGTTACCTCAAGGTATTTAGTATTGAACCTCAATGTACTGTTATCATTCAAAATCCGTATTCATGAAACGAACTGCATTTACCTTGAGGTAAGTTCTCAATGCAACTTCTAACCCTAGCTAATGGCAAGTTTAGAAGGATACCTTAAGGGATCTATCTATTTTCTGAAGCTGATTTTTGCATGAATAATGCAGACGTAGTTTAGGTTACTGTAGCAATTCTGCGAAATTTGGTTGAAGTCAATGAGTGTTCTTGGGGTTGAGCGAAATCAACACAAAATTTTTGTCCATACTGTTAGAAACTTTATACATGTTAACGAACGTCTGGGTCTTGATTCTGTTAAGCTGTACGTAGTCATAAGCAGGGGTTATTCTCTTTCACAACATCTTGAGCACAGTAGCTATGTTTTAAACATGAAGTCGAAGTTGTTCGATGAAACTACCTTGTTTCCGATCTTCAGAATTAGTACACTTTACCAACTGGTCGCGTGTACTGCAACGTAGCCCTCAATTCCATTTCCTCAACTGGTCATTTTGGATTTCAAAAAATGATTTCACCAGAAGATTCGTATTTTTTAAGTACACGTTGTTCAGCATTTTAGCAGGGAGAAAGGGTTAGGTATTAAATGCAGAAAATAGATGAAAAATGAGCACAGTAGTTGGTTGAGCAGGAAAATTTTAACATTTCCACTTTTCATTTATTCACCGCGCACAAGTGGGTTCAAATGGTATAGCTCTGACAATGAGAAATATTCCTACATCCAGAAGCGACCCACTAGGGGACTGCCTGAACATACTTTCATCGATGATGATTTTGAAGCTTTGCAAGCTCCAGTTCAGACTTTTGGAATAATCGCACTGATCGTGCATCTAGCAAGATTTTGCGCACCACAAAAATCCGCAAAGCACGTGAGAAACCTTAGCGATACAACCTCATCAAAAAACAAAGCAGGTTTTTCAATCTAAAGTGACTGTGAAAAAGGATTATTTTGACAATTTTAAAGCTTTTGAGACTACTCTCTTGATAAATGTACAAAAAGAACTTCTTCGGAAAGGTAGGTTCCATTGTTGTACAAACAATATCACGAATTTAGATACAACTAGAAACAATCAACTTCTTATTGTTAGATAAACCCCCTTTGAGCTCGAAATAGACAAATGCTTATATAGACAGTACAGTCTCAAAATCATCGACTGTAAAGCTCTGAAGTTGACATTCCAACAAATTCCTCGTCAAAATATCACGGAAATACAAAAGAAGGCGATTCACTGCAAGTGCGTCCTACCATCCTCCTAATACACGTCAGTCCTTATCATCTTGGCGTAATTTTACATTACCTTGTGAGGGGCACATTCTCAGACACTGGGAGCGAGCGAGCCGCGGCCCCAAAAGGCCTTTCCGGCGCTCCCGCGGCCTTAATTTGGGGGCGTGGCCGGGGTGCGGCCAGCCCGCGGCCCTTCATTCATGTCATTATCATTGCACCGGCTGAGCCGCGGGAGGAAACGGGCTTACCGGCTCAGCCGCGGCTTTTAATGGTGAGACGGAGCATTGCAGCGGCTCAGCCGCGGACCAAAATCCGTGTAAGAAACTCCAGCCGAGCAGCGGTCCATATCAAATGAAGGCCGCGGCTCGGCCGCTCCTAGTATCTTAGCGTAAAGGATACTTGCGAGATGTATGACGCATGGCCAGGCTACCCTCAATGTCCATTACTTTGTGTGTGTTTCCGTCTTTCAGGCAGAAACAGTATGTTGCCTTGAAAACAATCCTGGATAGATAGCGTCTGGCGTTATCCAACTTCGAAGTCGGACTTGGTTTCCAAAGCTGCTATACTGGTGGCTTCAGTCTTTGTTCTTTACTATGTTTTATGTGCCAGTAAATAAAACACAGTTCTACCGTATCAGTGTCCGGCTTAGGCAAACAAATTCAAAATGATTTAGTGCAAAGGGGAGCCGTATAAACGGAGCCAACTCATTTATATGGCCGAGCTAGAATGAACTACGGACTGTCCGACAACCAACTGCGGCTGACCGAGGCTCGCCTGCGTCCGGCCCGCGGGAGCTGCGAAATTTCAGCCTGTAATGGGCAGCGGCTCGTCCGCTCCCAGTGTCTGAGTTGATGAATACGAAAATTATACCTTGAGGTAAATTACTTTAGGGTACAGCTCAAGATACATTGCATTGCAGTCGGGTT